TTGTTACGTTCCTTGTTTTCAATACAAATCAAATTTGTGGAATGAGAGTTTTTGTCATTGGTGCTTCCGGTCTTGTTGGAAGCCACTGTTTAACATATTTTAGACAACGAGGTTGGACAGTCGAAGGTTCTCACTGTAATTATGCGACTGATACTACCGTTTACTACGACACACTACAGTCACAAAATAATCAGAACTTCGATGTGGTATCTTTTGGGCCTGAAATAATTGTGCATTGTGCAGCATTGACTAATGTTGATTACTGTGAAACACATGAAGAAGAAAGCTATGAACATACGTTCAAAAGTGCTCAACATGTCTGTGAACTCGCCATTAGATGTGGCGCTCGAGTAGTGTATATCTCAACAGACTATGTATTCGATGGCGATGCTGGTCCATATAAGGAGGATGACAGGCCGAATCCAATCAATGTATATGGAAAACACAAACTTCTCGCTGAAGAGCTTGTACTTACTTCCATGATTGATTCATTGATTCTTCGCGTCACTAATGTGTACGGAGATGAAGCACGTGGTAAAAATTTCGTTGCTCGGATCATTCACCAATGTGAGCAAAAGGAGAAACCGTTGTGTTTGAAACTTCCTTATGATCAGTTTGCAACCCCGATTAATGCGCATGATATTGCTCGAGCCATGTTTTGTTTGATTAGTGACAAGAAGACAGGTATCTATCATTTGGCCAGCACTGATTATATGAATCGTGTGGAGCTGGCTACACGGATACTTTCATATGTATCTCATGCTCAACATTGTAATATTGAACCTGTTGATTCAGCTACATTGAAGCAAAGTGCGAAACGTCCACTTGTGGGTGGTTTATTAAAAGTAAAATTCGCTACTGAGTATCCAACATTTTTTTTCAATAGTATCGATAATTACTTATCTTCGATTATCAAATCTCGCATTTCTTCATGGAAACATCCATAAAAGACGTTCACATACATCAAGAGATGAACATCTTTTAAAAGTGGAGGTATCTAAACGAAGAGACAGAAAGTTCAAATGCTCTTGGTTGTGGGTGTGGTTTGAATGTATGTCTTCTTTATTCTGTCACCTACAGCCGTACCCTTCATAAAGGCAAGTCATTTTCCTCTCTGAATGAACGAACAAGAAAAAACCAGCACAAAAACTCGCGACGGATATTTCAAATTGATAAAATAAATTTAAAACATTTCTTATCAAATTTCTTGTATTTTATTGGTGAATTGGGACTAAAAGAGAAAGAATAATGGTAATTATAATACTACAACTGCAACTGATAATAATGGCGCGATGATAATAATATTTAATTAAAATTCTCTTACTCTTCGTGAGGATTTTTGGATTGGCTCGTTTATTTTGTTTTCACTCGAATAGTGTAAACTATGTTAAAAATAGAACTGCTTTTTTATGAATTTTTTGTTTTCTTCATTCATCTTCTTATAGCACTGGTTTTTTATGTACACAAGTTCTGTGTTCATTTTCTTTTGTATTATGTGTTACTGATGTTATTCAAAAAAAATAAACTTAAAGTTAATTTGTTATGCAACACGTAGCTCTTGTCAAGTAAGGGTGTGCATGTAGGTGTAAGTGTGAATGTGAACTAAACAGAAGATATAGACCAACGCTCACACTCTGCATGTGGAAAAACCCGATACTTCCATAACTTGGACTATAATCTTATTGGCTGGCTCCTTCATGAATATGATTAGGTCGCTGTCGCCTTTCTCTTGGACAACTATTGCATTGTTAAGGATGACTCCTAGTGATCTTTGAGATCGTCAATCACAAGAATTTAAAAGTACTTTGGTTGTTACATTAGGCTTTATGGTGGTCTCAAATTCCGACTGTGATTTATACATTGTAACCAACTGCAAGTAAATCCTACATATTTAAGTTGTCTATTTAGGATGCTAAACTTCCCATATCATCATCGATTAGAATCCTAGCATAATGGTTACTACCAGATGTACAACGAAGCTAACAACCCAGTCGATCTGCTGGATTATCACAGGACATGTCATGGTTTTCGAGCCTGTCATAGGCAACCAAAGGCGATGAAAATGCATGACAGGAACAAGCAAGATGAACAGCTATGTAGTCTGGGGTAGACCAGTTATACTGACAAAAATTGGCTTATCTTGATCTCTGATTAGTGCCTTATTACATGCTTTAGTTTTGTTGTATAGACGATCTTTGTTATCGATTGGTTCTTGACATGGTAAGACTAGTTTATTTATGAGATTGTAAGCTTTAGGGAAGACTTATAATATTTAGATATCAACACTAAATGGAAATATTTCTCGAGAAATGATGTCGTGTGGAAATCATCATTCTCATCAAGAATTCAGTTTTAAGACACATCTACTAAAAGAATACAACGTGACTTAAAGCTGAAATTGTTAGCAGATATGTAATTGTACTAGCTCTAGTTTCAATAAAAATTGAAAGTTTTCGTCACACTGCAATCAGATGATATTAACCATCGAAATACCTTAAAATCGTAACTTCTGTCCGTTTTGTGAAACTCATAAAATACTAAGTTTACAATGATTTGACCTAAAAACTATTTTCTCGGTAGAACTTTCCGTCTATATATATGCAGAAAAAACTTCTGTTGAATCAGACAAGTCGTTCTTATAATATAGAATCTGTTAGAAAGAAACTTCGTAGAAATTATGATGCCAAGGTTTTTTGTCAAAAATTCATTTAAAATCGAGAACTCGATGCTATGAAAGACGCTTGTGTCAAAGTCCATAAAACTCTCTTTCTCTATTACATATGTTGAATTCAACAAGATCTAACTGTTATGACTGATCAACTTATGAATAGCAATGATTGTGGTTTATATGGACAAACTCATAACACTAAATTGTCATAACCATTACTGTTAAACTTGTCTGCTGACTATACACCCTTCAATAGTACAGAGTAAAAAAATTTGATGACGTCTTATGTCAATATTTCTGTCGTCATTTTTATTCTGACGTACTTCTTGTATTAGCTAGGATGCTGCTGTTTCAACATAACTAATCGAAGTGCTGTTTATGATGGTGAATTAACAAAGAGTAGGTTACTGACTAAAGTACCATGA